GTGGGTTCAGGATACACAGCACCTCTCTGAGCTAGCTCTGCAAATTCTCTACAAAATAATTTCAAGATGAACAGTTAAATGAAATAAGGGGAGAGGGGAGCGTCCTTCCTTTTCTTCTACCTTGGGCAGGGGAGTGGAAGAGTTCATTCCAGGGAGTTCGTCACTCTGGGTAAGCCTCTATAATCCTTCCTCATCAGAAATTAAATAAGCAGCAAGTCACATCTCAACTAAGTGACAAGCTGGATAAACATCGCAGGTGTTAATTGACCCTTCAAGGCTTCTTTGAAGCTCACTCAGCTTCTCCAGTTTCTTTGAAGTTGTGTGTTGGCTTTAGCAAGGCCCTGATTAGATTGGTTTAATAGCGAGATTATGCTTGGTTAATGGGAACAAAATAAAGTGCAGTTCCAAAACTTCTTTTGGTCCCCTCAAGTGTCGCCTTGTACAATGCACAGAGACAAAGTGGTGGAGTTATACTGGTTAGTGAATAACTGAAACCTTAAGAAATCATAAAGTAACAGATGTTCTACTGGTAGAATGAGGCAGGTCGAATCCAAAGCAGCCCAGAATCATTCTCGCCTTTGTTATCAGTGACATTTTCCAGGGGAGGAGACCATACAAACTGTTGCACCTGTAGGACTTAAGTGGGCTGCCGTCTATAGGACATTGTAAGCATTACAGTGATAATCGCTTCTCGGACTTTTGGCTAAGATCAAGTGAAGCGTTACAGTGATTGAACGTCTATTAAATTGGTTGGTGTGGGATTCCCATACACCTGAACACATGTGCAAGGGACGCAAATATGTGCTTCAGTGAAGACAGGGATGTGTTCAGTGAGGCAAAACTGAAGGATGCTTGGCGTGAGGTGTGGTCATATGGAGGGCAGGCTGTGTGTGCAGTGCAAAGCCTTGAATGGCACAGTAAGGCATCTGGGGTTTTTTTGGATGGCCTGAGCCTCAGTCATTGAAGACTTTCGAGGAATTGATGCATTTACGTGTGTTTGGGGATGCTTTTTAAGTGCATTTCCTGTTCTTCGTTTCCTTTTCTTCTCTACCCTACTCACAGGCTACCTGTCCCAGAAGGGGATGCATAAATTATTCTCATGATAGGATGCATGTTTGAAAGATCGTAAATGCTCCATTAGTTGTTTTCTGTCGAGACTATCTGTTCCTCGTCCCTTTAACCACCAAGTCTTAATTTAGACACCACAGTAGGTTAACTCTGAAATAAAATCAGTTTTCTTTCTCCTTGATATTTCCTGGGTTGTGAGCTATAGGCTAGACGGTCAAATCAGTTCAGAAATAAAGAAAAGTTGACTAGCTTCACCGCTAACCATGTTTTTAATTGCAAGAAAAATCATAATTACCAAAGCATGGGGCAAAGAGAATTAGAAATGGCAGCTCTCTGCTACCATAGGGTATTGATAAGAAGCTAGCCTGTAGAAAATTAGAAGCTGACTAGTTAAAAAAAAAAAAAAAGTCAGCCTTATCTAATGTATATAGAGTGGATTCGGTTTAGATGACGAACCCCTCCACATTTAATGTATGGATAATTTTGGCACATTACATCATTAACCACATTTAGACTGTTCCGCTGTAGCCATGGTAACCCTTGCATAAAACATAGCTGAGTTGGTAATTTCACTCCAAATTCAATGAAAATAAAGCTAATCCTATTATTGTTCTTAACAATTTTCCAAGTAGCTTCTCTTGAGAGTGCCCTTGCTTGTATTTTCGGTATTGAAAAATGGATTATTGGAAAATTATATGTGCTTGTGCACTCCACACTCAGACTTGCACACTGACCGACTGTCACTGCTCTGTAGCCTTGTGCTTGGGGGGGGGCACCACCCACCTGCGCTCTATTAGGGTCTTCCTTGAAGTACAGGGATGCTCAATTTTTTAAACATACCAATTTGAACCATTAAACATTTCAGAGACTGTCAGTCTAAAATGATAGTAAAACAATAGTCTTTTTGAGATAAGCCATATTACGCATTTGTCCAGATCTTAAAAACGGACTTCAAGTGATTCTATTTTGTATTACAAATGTGCCCATGCATGTTCCCATAGTGATTTAGGAAAGCCACCTATTCCGTGATAGCCTCCATGGAAGAGAGATGTGGGTCCTGTGTAAAAGTGCCACGGACAGGTCAAGACAGTTCTTCTGGAGTTATGAGAAACGTGAAGTATCACCCCAAAAAGCTCTCTCCGCTCCGACTCTCTATCGAGGCAGTGTGTGTGTAAACTCGCCTCTCAGGTGGTTACTCTCTGTGGTAGTAACCTGTTCGAGGCTTTACCGTGAAATCTACGAGATGTGAGTTCCCGACAGAGCATTAAGTCTACACCTGGCTGGACTGTCCTGTTGCAGGGATTGGGGTGGAGTGAGAAGGAAATGTAATTCTGAGTCAGAGGCCTTGAGCCTGAGTTCCAGTGCTGCCCTGTGGTCTGTGATCTCTGCTCCCAGCTTCTTCATCAATAAAAGTTAGAGGATACTAACAAGAAACCCCCAGGGCTTTTGTGCGAAGAGGACACTACAGATTGTCATAAGAACACAATATGAACACAACTCTATCTAACAGTAGCCATCGAGAGAAAGAGCATGTTGAGTCCAACCAGATACCCCATTTGCCAGACTGGAAGGAACACAAACAGGGTCAAAGTTCCCATTAAGAACTTTCCCAACAACTGCCCAGTTTTTGTTTTTTGTTTTTCCGATGTGTTCACAGGTCATGAATCTTGGTACCCTGACAGATACCTAGATATATTTCAGAGCTGGAAAGTGTTCTCTGGCCTGAATCCACACACCAAGAAGACGGGCCACTGTCCTGGCCGCCATGCCGGCTCTCTCTCCGACAAACATTAGAAACTGTTGCTCTCAGGCCTCAACAGGGGCCCATGGCCCCATCCTCAACACGTTTCTGAGTCCAATACTGAAGTTGTTGGGGACAAGTAGCAGGGGATCACGAAGACAGAGGTTAGTCAGAAAGGAGGGGGATGTGAGAGAAATCGACCGGGATAAGCCAAGAAGAAACAGGCAACAACTCAGACAACATTCTTTAGCTCCCGCCTGCCATCTTTAATTAAAATGAACGAAATGAATGAGCTCGTGCCTCTCAGTGGGAAGTCACAATGTGCTCATAAGAGCCACAAGCCCTTCTGGAGACTTGTGTCTTGTTCTGATTTCACATGCCCTATTTTTATTTCAGACCTTGACACGGACATCTGCACCTCCACGTTTCCTCTCTTACATAAACTAAGTCTGTCTGGCAGAAGCTGTCCGGACCATGGGTTCTAAAATCATGGTCAAAGATGTCTCTCTTTTTTCTCTCTTTCCCAACCTGACATCTTAGGAGCAAGGTAGTTGGTCGGTGCCCACGATCTGCAGAATCTCTCATAAACAAGGCCTTTACCATAAATCATATAGTTTCTGAGAGACACTCACCATGTATTTCATATTGCAATGAATTTCTGAAAACCAGAACGATGTAATTTTAAAGCTAAAAATGTTACATCCCTGACTCTCTTTTAGTGATTGACAGAGAATATGAACTCAATAGATAGGTAATGCATATCCAGTATACTAGATATCCAGTAGCTTCCCTACTTATATAAACTGTTATGCGACTTGTCCAAGGTCACAAGGATATTTTTGGCAGAACATGGAAGAGAACCCAGGACACCCAGCGTTATGTTCACAAGGTATTTCCACTAAGTCTGATGGAACACAAAGGGAGACAGGTACTATCAACCAATTCTTGAATGTTTCAGATTGTATTACACGAAATCAACAAATGGGTAAACCCACTCATCTAAAAGTCTTGTTTAAGATGAATCAAATATAAAGCAAAGGCCAGACAGGCAACGGTTATTTTTCTCTTAATTGAGGTAACATTTAATATAATCACAGCGTAACTAACGTAAGGAAATAATTCACCCATTAATATAAACCCTCTGCTTTGAATTTTGAGCCTTAGAAAAAAATAAATTTCAATTTAAATAACTGGTTTAAGACAGGTGATCTAATTTGATGTCATGTTTCAGGGTTGATATTTTTATCCTTTAGTCTTTACATGGAAATGCAAACTTGAACCCATAGAAATATTCCCACTCACTTCATATTCTCTACCAATGTATAAATGGCCAACATCTCCTCTGACTTACACCCTAATTTGAATGTGTGTGTGTGTCTGTGTGTCTGTGTGTGTATTCAAGTTAGCTTATCATCCAAGATCTGAAATAGAGTACTGATAGGGTTTTTAAAATACTAAGAAATGAAATAAAACAAAAACCAGTACAACTCACGACAAATGACTTAATTTGAGGCATAAAAGGCATAAAGACTTCAAACATCTATTCTTCGGATTCTCCCTCTTCAACTGCACTTATGGACACAACGAAAGCTGCTCTCACCAGCAATACCAAGACCTAGATTGATTCGCTGTAACTGATCAGACCCAGTTTCCTTCTGTCTCCACTAGCATACACGCCAGAGAAGTGATCCTCAGTTGATTAATTTCATATGTATGTTGCATTAGTATTTATGGTTTGCCTGTGACCCTTCATAGTTGCAACATCGTCAGGAAGGAAAAGAAATACGCAGTCATATATCTGCAGCACAGTAGATAAATGGTTGGTAACATGACATTTTAAAATGTCCATCGTCTAAAAATATCTGTTTACATTGAATCAGCTCCGGAACAAATCCAAAACTAACTTAGCTCGCCTGGTTACCATCATCTCTGTTGCTTTGTAAGAGTCGAGAATGAGGGCATGTGATGTTCTATTGCCCACGTGCACCTAACTTTCCCGGCTCCAAATACCGACGCAAAGACATCTTGGAAACTTTGAGATCAGTCACAATATAGAGGGCTTTGTTAGCAGTCAAAATAGCAAAGCAAAGAAAGAACACTCATGTTTGCCAATGAATGTCCAAGGAGAACCATATTACAAAGCCTATTGTTGTATCTGGGGTAAACACATTTTTTTTTCCCCAGGACTTACCATATGGACGGCGCTTCTGTTCCACTGATCTCCAAGAAGTCGTACCCTTCTTCTAGTTGAAAGTCGGTGAAGACCAAGGCAATGGTGTCCCCGGGCTCAGCGAGGATGGTCCAGGTACAGTCAGCATTGTTCCCGTATTCTGAGGGGAAGTGCGGGCTGGAAATGTGGCTGCTGGTTCCCCGCAGGGTCCCTCCACAGGCTCCCTCAGCTGGCAGGAGCAGAAACAAATGGGAATCATATTTCAAGACCACTTCATACACAAAGTTCATCTACATCTACAAAGTTCATCTACAAAGTATCCATAGTGATCGGTGACAAATATTTTCCGAACCCCAAATTGACAGTCTCAACATGACAAAGGGTTTCTTCTGATTTATTAATTTAGTTTTGTGGAAAAGCTTACAAAGGTCTAAACGATTACCCCGAATTATTAACTGACTTTCCATCGTGGAAGAGTGAAGTCTTGACTTTTCTAATATCTGCAGTGTGTCGTTGCCATATACCTCACATTCACAGACGGCTTCACAAAAATGTACCAAAACTTTCTCTGAGATTTAAAAGTATGTAGCCATGTTTTATCAATTCACTGATACCTGGCTTTGAAAATACAGTGATCCTGAAAGTAGTCATCACCCTAATTGTTTTTCTACAGACTCTGGAATGTCTATTTGGTTTTGAATTTCAGGTAAGTTCTGGACTAATATGATGATAGAGACACAGCAATTCATAAAAACTTTGTGAGTAGGAAACAGATGCATGAAAACTTAAAGTGGAATAACTTGGAAAGTAGCAATTAAAATGGTCAGTGATGACAAAATGCCTGTAAGATATAATATAAATTTGCATTAAAATATTAATTTGAGGGGAAGCCATCTTATCAAGTTTTCCCTAGAGTAAAACATACATGTTATTGAACTCAGAGCATTGCTTACAAAACGTTATGTACATAGTAAACTGTAACACAGGTAAATAAATATTTATAAGATACTTATGCTAAGACATGTCTGGGAGTGTCCTTTTTTTCTTTCCTTCCCTCCTTCCTTTTGACCTATCAGATAGTTTCTACCCAAAGAGCATATTTAATATTTATGGGTGTTGATGCTCTCGTATAACTGATAAATGAAGTCAGCCTGTCACCGAGATGGGGACATATGCTTTTAGCAGCTTGTGTGCCTGGATAACATCATGTAGAGCAGATATTTTCATTGGCTACTGATGAAACAACTGTATATGTAAATGTAGTATACACTTGCATATACTCACACCTCTGTAGTAACAATTGTTTTTCATGTATGAACATGTCATACATACATGCATGATCAACACACACAGCATAATGCTATTTTTTTTTCAGCATAATGCTATTTAATACACTGACCTTATTTCTCTAATTTTTTTT